CTCCCCCCTCTGCCCAGCGCAAAGTACAGGCCGCGCGTGCGAGTTTAGCGGAAAAAAGGGCGAGAGAGAGGGTGAGAGAAAGAAAAAAAAAACCTCACGGCTCCCAATAAGGAGCCGGCTCGCGTCGTTCACTTCAAAGAGCCGGCTCTAAGAGCCATTTCGTTCGCGAACGACCCATCACTACCAAGAACAGCAATATCAAGCTAAAGTGGGCAAACCAGAAAGAAAGTAAAAAAATAAGTTTGCAGATGGTAGGTTCATAATTTGGCAGCAGGAGTCCATGTACCAAATTTATCTTGTATACAAATTGCTGATGATGATGGTTTAATGTTTTTTGAGTTCCTCAATATCACCCAATCATAGTTTGGATTCCATGCTTTATATTATAGGAATGAATTTGTAGCTGATCTGCAGAAATGATGTGATTTCTATGGTGCTAATGTTTTAGTGAATGTAATGTGCTCTGTCTCAGAGTATAAATATAACAAATTACAAATGTTGGGGGGGAAAAAAACAAAAAAACAAACAAACACAATTTATATGGTGTTACGTCCCCACGATGAAGGTCTAGGGGTGTGTATGGGGACTGGTAACAAATGGGTCCAGAATGGAATAAAAGGAAAACAGACAGAGGTGTTTAGTAAATAAAATAGTTTTTATTATAGATAATCTTAACATAAAGAGCCAGCAACGCCGTTTTTCCAATAACACTAGAAAAAGAAAAAGGTCGCAACAACAAAGAACACAACAAATCCACACCACGAGGAGGTACTTCCAGGGGCCCACAAGCCCTCCCTGTCACTAGCAGCAGCAAGTTCCACTGCTGCTGCTGTTGAGGGCCACAAGCCCACATTACTCACATGAAGCAGCTACTCTCCCCACTGCTCCTACAACTCCACGCCACAGGCAGGACAATCACACAATAGGACCGCTTTTGACACCTAAAACACGAACAGGAAACACCAGAGAAATCTGCCTCCTCTCATCCAGTTCATACCCAGCTTATATAACCTCAGAGAGGTGATTGCTGACTGGGCCCAGGTGGTAAACAAGGCCAACAAACAGCAGCTGTGTCCTGGGGAGAGAGAAGAGTGAGAGAGAGACAGAGAAGTGGAGCAAGAGAGGAGGAGGCGGGAGAAAACACCACACCCACACAAGATTAGTTTCAGGAGGCCCTGCTAGGACCATAACATATGGCTTTCACTGGCTGAGCAATTAAAGTTTGAGAATGAAAATCTCTGTTGGCCAAATATGATCACAAACAGAGAAGAGTGGAAAGGCATAAGACAGAAATGGTCACTCGTGTTTTTTAAGTGATATAAAAGAGTAGAAGGAAAAAGAGGTAAAGGAGGAAAAAACAAACCTTTTTCACCACTTGAGGCAAAAACACACTGTTGAACACAGCCAGGCTATAAAGGAGGCGATACTAGCAGCTGGTGTAACACAAAAGGAAATGAGTGTTTCTGGACCACTCGCTAGTTTCACTCCATATGACCGAAAGAGGAAATGGTGGATGAAAATTACTAATATGTACATGGTGGTAAAGGAGGGTCTTAAAAAAGCTCAAAAATATAAAAGCAGCTGAAGCCATGAAGTTGGCCAAGCTGGCTGGGTATGAAAGTGGAGGGCTGGGCAAGTGACGTATGAAAAATCCAGGTTTGCCCAGAAGTGGAAAAAAATAGTTTCTGCAAAGAGTATGTTAACATTAACTGACTCTATAAAAAAATAAATTTTGATGTTAAACTTGCTGTTGGCTAACATCATATAGGCAGGTTATTATTGTAAATATACTGGTTTAACCACTCAGTAACAACAAGATATCTATTATAAAACAGACCTATACTACATGTAAAAGCTAATATTTACTAGGTTTTCTGACTTTAGTCCCATACAGAAATTTGATAGCTGGACATTAACTTTTTTTTACGACTCTTATCAAAGTTACACTAAGTTTATTTAATTTGTAAAACTTGTTTTTTGAACTCCAGAGTTTTCATTTGAAAATAATTTATTAGAAAAGGCAGATCATTGTGGTTGGTATGCTTCACACTGATTTTAACAAAGGCCAGTATACTGTTGTAAAAACAGGGATCATGCCTAAATTATAAGTCATGTAAAATTGGAATGCAATGATTTGGATTTCAGTAGATTTTCTTTATTTATTTTTTTGTTAAGGCAAGTAAAAACGTTGTGACACTAATGGAGGCGTGATGAGATAAAAGTATTGAAATTACCCTGTCTGTCTTTAAATATTCAAACAGATTCCATTTGTAGGATAGAAACAGGTTTAACCAGCAGAGAATATGCATATCCAGGAGCTGGGGTCTATTGACAAGAATTTTTAGAGATGAGCCAGAGAACCATATTTGACATCCAGTGCTGAACTTCCCAAAGAGACACATTACGACAACTGTGTATATTCAGTGTCAGATGAAATACCAAATAGGTAGTTAGCTATATCTAGGTGCCATCAACAAAAATAATGAATAGATACACTGTCTCTGAATTATATACTCAATAGGGAGCAAGCATAAAGAAAAATAAACTGCTGATTGAGTTAGAAGTTCTTTAGAGAAACAGAACCTCAGATTTGAAAAATAAGAGTTTCACTCAAATTTGTCAAATACTGCATCAAAGCTGCAGCAGAAATTCCTACACAAAGCTGAAATTGCTTGGTTGTATCTCATGTGGATTCTGATCACAACCTCTCTGATGAAAAGGCACAGAGGCTGCTCTGATCCATGAGGACACTGAGGAAAGCCATCCTGTCCGAAAAGCTGCTGGTGTCCTTCTACTGTAGCTCAGTGGAAATACTTGGCTATGGCATTCTGGTTTGGTATGCCAGCTGCACTGAGGCTGCACAAGGAGACTCTGGAGAGAGTCACAATAACATCACAGAGGACTGCCAACATTCAGATGTTTGGGCCACAAACATCATCGAGTACTCTTCTCATCCTAATCACCACCTTTTCACACTGGTTCCCTCTGGAAGGCAAGTCTTTATAGAGCTCACAAGAAGTTTTTACTTTATGTGTCTGAATTGCATTTGAGACTAATGCAGCCCTGACTGGAACCTCTCAAAGATAATATTGTGCATGGAGCAATTGTGGCATTTTTTTTTAATGAAATTTCTGCTATAAAAGGTTATTTAGAAATTGGTCTAAATGGTCTAAAGGTATTTTCAAGTGTGACTTGATTTCTTCCCAGCAGAAC